GTGTGTCATATTCGGTGTGACTCTCTATGGCAGTGTTCTAGCTCTGTATCTGCCCCATGACATCCTTCCTCAGCACACAGCTACAAGGCGCAGTGTAGAGGCGGAACCCGGATATCCGTGCTATGTTTCTGGGGGAAGAGTTATGTGGGACACCGGAAGTGGAGCTGCAGACAGGTGAGTGCTGAGTATTTGCACCGTGTGAGTGGCAGGATGTGCACCCAGGGCAGGGCTCTGGCTGCCCCCTCCAGGGCAGGGCTCTGGCTGCCCCCTCCAGGGCAGGGCTCTGGCTGCCCCCTCCAGGGCAGGGCTCTGGCTGCCCCCTCCAGGGCAGGGCTCTGGCTGCCCTCTCCAGGGCAGGGCTCTGGCTGTCCTCTGTACTAGTTATGGAGAGAGGGAGAAGAGTCCTCTACAGATGGAGCATTGCTCTAGGCCTGCTGTGCACTTTGTATGATGGTCTCTGCCATCCAGTAGGCTCCATTCACAAAGATGTATCACCAGACTATAGCTGGCCATAGATGTCAGTTTTTATTGTTCAGCCAGTGGGTTGAGTGAAAAGGGAACCTGGTTTCCCCATCCACACATTGTCTGTGTATGAAGGAATCCTCCCTCGCTGTGTCATTGTATTGGGAAAGCAGGGAGACTGCCCCGTTGTCAGAATACACAGATCAGCCTATTGCCTGCAGGGCTGATCGAGCAACTAAACTCCGACACGGTTGGACAGAAGATTATTTATTATACAGTATTTATATAGCGCCAACAGTTTGCTCAGCGCTGTACATTGTAATTCGAGACAGTACAGTAACAATACACGAGGGGCTCGAGGGCCCTGCTCCTTTGAGCTTACAATCTAGGAGGGAGGGGATAGTGGTACAGGAGGAAATCGCTGTGGGGGTGGAGTGGTAGGAAGAGCGGAGGAGATCAGCAAATTAGGTGAGGGCGGGGTAGGCTTCTCTGAAGAGATGGGTTTTCAGGGTGCGCCTGAAGGTGACAGTCTGATGGATTTGGGGTAGTGAGATCCAGAGGATGGGGGAAGTCCTGGAGACAGGCATGGGAGGAGGAGACCAGGGAACTGGAGAGAAGGATGATCAGTAGATCTACTTCTGTTCAGCCACAGTGGCCATATGTGGATGGAAATGTGTCCCTGCTGAACTTCAATCCATGGGCAGCACGGTAGCTAAAGAGTTAGCACTTCCACGTGGCAGTACCAGGATCGCTGGTTCAAATCCCAACCACGGCACCTCCTGCCTGGAGTTTGCATGTTCTCCCTGTGCCTGCGTGGGTTTCCTCTGGTTACTCCGGTTTTCTCACATGCTCCAAAGACATGCTGGTAGGTGAATTGGCTCCTGTCTAAGGTGTCCGTTTATGACACAGAATAGCTACAATTCAGAGGATCGCAGCTATTCTCTGGTCATTCACAGTTTGACACTCGAGATCAGCGGAGAACATGTTCAGCCCTTCACTGGAGATCTGTGTTCTCCCTCCAGATTATCCAGCCCAGAGCTGGAGAATCGGAGGAACTTCAAACTAATCAGCGATAATTTACCTCTGCTTAGTGAACTGATCTTTTACTGTAATCTCGCGAGATTATAGTAAAATCAGCCGTTTTCCAGCGTTTGCAGACCGTTTTGTTCTCCCTTCGTTCGGAGAACTACTACACAAAAGGCATTCACAGGAGAACTGTGTTCTCTGAGAATGCCGGAGAACTGAGCAGCGATCATTTACCGCTGGTTCATAAACTAACACATAAATTGGCCCTAGTATGTATGAATGAATGTGAGTTAGGGGCCCTAGATTGTACGACCCTTGAGGGTTAGGGACTGGTGGGAATTGACTATATATATTATTATAAAAGTGCTGCGTAAATTGACGGCGCTATATAAGTACCTGAAATACATAAATAAAATGTATGGCCAGCTTACCCCCCCCCCCCCCCATTCACACTTGTAGTGATTACATAGACCCAGCGGGGATTCCCAGCGATTAGCTGCAGGTGGCAGCAATGTTGAAAGTAATGGAAGGCTGACGGCTCCCACATCTAATTGCGGCCACTTGCATGTAATCACTTATGGAGCTGCTGCCTGCAAATGATGGGCCCTGGACAGTCTGTGTTCAGGACATGTAATTTCCAGGTAATCTCTCCATGAACAATTAAAGGCAAATAGCTGTGATTAGTTGCAGGAGCTGGCAGCTTTCTATTGCTTTCAACAGGGTTGCCACTTGCAACTAATCACTGGGAACCCCCCGCTGGGTTGGTTAGGATGGCCCCATTCGCAAGTGTCAACATACACATTACAATCTGACCAGACAATCTTAGAACAACCAACTACCAGTAAAAATAGGTGGTCAAGATGAAGTTTTACAGCCTCCACCATACCCAACACAGTGACCAGACGGAGTTGTACACAGGCCTTGTCACATTTGGTGGGCAGTACAGCTGCTGAACATGACCAATTCAAATGACTGGGGCTGCACTGCAACTGCATGCAATGTGTGCAGTGGTTTGGGCTTTTAAGGGTTAAATCAGGTGCTGAGGAGGTGACATATTGCCTGTCAGCCACCCACTGAAAAGCAACCCACTGTGGATTGCTTTTTAAAGGGCAACAAGGGCTTCCACAAATCTAAACAAACCCTAAGGGTCACCATACATGATAGAAATCTGACCAAACAATCTTTGTACAAACAACTTTAGATTTACCAAACATATAATATGAGGACCTACCTAAACTGGCAGCTCCTTGTACTACATAGTTGTTGGAAGACCTTAGTCTAGGTTCACACCTAAGCGTTTCCCACAGTGTTTTGTGTTTTATAGAAACAAACTACAGTCCATTTAACATGATTTCCTATGGGACATGTTCACATCTCCACGTTTTCTGGAAAGGGTCAGGGACTTTTTTAAATGCAAAAGTTGCATTTTTGGTTCTATAGACTTCAATGGACTTCATTAAAATTCATAAAGTTCCAATCAGTAAAATTTTCTTCCAGCAGAGGTCCTGAATGTTTGTGTGATGACTTCAATCCTTCACATTACAGCCCTCTCCTATTTTACAAGTCATTTCTTAGGAATGGTTCACACCAGAATGCAGTGCGGGAAAGGTGCATTCTGTGTGCATTTACCACACGGTGCTCAAAATGCACTGCCTGTGCAATCTGCAGTGGGTGTCAATTTATTAACGACACCCCAAATGCAGATCGCAAACGCAATGTGTTTGTCTGACCAGATTGCATAGTACCGCAGCATCATGTGATTTGGTGCAGTGATTTTTCGAAAAAAGTAGTGCATGCACTTTTTTGTGTCATCTGGTGAAATTTCACCCTATTCAAATGAATGGGCTGAAAATGACATCACTCTGAATTGCACAGTAACTTGGTGTAAACCATCCCTGACATCAGTGTCCTTAGTCCACCTTCACATCAAGATCCCCACTGTAGATCCCAGTCCCCCCTTCACAGTAGTGTCCTCTGCCCTCCTTCACATCACCCCCTACAGTAGTATCCTCTGCCCTCCTTCACATCACCCCCTACAGTAGTATCCTCTGCCCTCCTTCACATCACCCCCTACAGTAGTATCCTCTGCCCTCCTTCACATCACCCCCTACAGTAGTATCCTCTGCCCTCCTTCACATCACCCCCTACAGTAGTATATCCTCTGCCCTCCTTCACATCACCCCCTACAGTAGTATCCTCTGCCCTCCTTCACATCACCCCCTACAGTAGTATCCTCTGCCCTCCTTCACATCACCCCCTACAGTAGTATCCTCTGCCCTCCTTCACATCCCCCTACAGTAGTATCCTCTGCCCTCCTTCACATCACCCCCTACAGTAGTATCCTCTGCCCTCCTTCACATCACCCCCTACAGTAGTATCCTCTGCCCTCCTTCACATCCTCTGCCCTCCTTCACATCACCCCCTACAGTAGTATCCTCTGCCCTCCTTCACATCACCCCCTACAGTAGTATCCTCTGCCCTCCTTCACATCACCCCCTACAGTAGTATCCTCTGCCCTCCTTCACATCACCCCCTACAGTAGTATCCTCTGCCCTCCTTCACATCACCCCCTACAGTAGTATCCTCTGCCCCCTTCACATGAACTCCCACAGTAGTATCCTCTGCCCTCCTTCACATCACCCCCTACAGTAGTATCCTCTGCCCTCCTTCACATCACCCCCTACAGTAGTATCCTCTGCCCCCTTCACATGAACTCCCACAGTAGTGTCCTCCGCCTCCCGCATAGTGGTATCCCCTGCTGTTCCACACAGTGTTTTGCTCCGCTCCCCATCAAACATACACACACATGTATACTGCACAGTAGTTTCCCCTGTTCTTCACACAGTGGTATCCTCTCCTCGGATGAGATCGTCAAAAGGGGGAAAGAACCTGCTCCTAAATTGTGGGATTGTGATGGTCCGGAGGGGACAATGACATGGTCCGTATCCAGACCATGGTCCGCCATTTAGTAATGCCTGATCTATAGGGATATGTCCAGTTCACTGTGCAAAATTATGTTTGCTTTTCTGTGTGTGCCCACTTATTTATTTATTACAGGTACTTATATAGCACTGTCAATTTTACGCAGTACTTTTGCATATATTGTACATTTAACGTCCGTCCCTAACCTTTAAGGAGTGCACAATCTAAGGTTCCTCACTTGCCTTCATACATACACATACTACGCCTAATTTAGACAAGAACCATTTAAGCTACCAGCATGTCTTTGGAATGTGGGAGGAAACTGGAGTACCCAGAGGAAACCCACGCTTAAGAATATTACACTTCCACATTACTTGGCATGCATGCACTTAACATAGAAAATATATCTAATGCTAGGTCCACTTTAACATGGGAGGAAGGGAATATTTCTTCCTTTATTTTTCTTGTAAAGGTTCAAAAATGCATGAAAGTTTGTGTTTTAATGTTTATTGATCCTCCAAATAGAAGAACTTGAGTGGCATTACTTGTCTTGCATTGTAATTAACTTCATTTTTTGTTATTGTGAAGAAATGGCGGGCTCCTCTACAGAAATGGATCCTGATCTGGCCCGGCAGCTGTTCTTTGAAGAAGCCACACTTGTGATTTTGGGTGTTCCAGAAGGTTCGGAATTCGGTATAGACTTAAACAGCTGGGAAGTTGGTCCTCGTTTCCGAGGGGTGAAGATGGTACCTCCAGGACTCCACTTTATCCACTATAGTGTGAAGAGGCTGAGGGGAGCTGCTGGGGAAACTGGGCCACGTTCTGGCATTTTCTTCTTCCTGGAGCAGAGGGCCATCCACCTCCTGCGATTGGATGCTCAAACAGAGGAGATGGTTGCTACCTCCAAAGAGGAGGCTGAAAATCTACGGGAAGAGCTTCCTTCCTTAGATCCATTCCTGGGGCCGTATCCTTATGAAAGCATGCGTCTCTGGGTATCCTTAACAAGCCACATTACTAAAGAAGATATGCTAAGGTTGCAGCCTGCCTGTGGGACAATATACTCCTTCCCAGAGGTCCTTCCTACTGAGAAGATGACCCACACAGAGGATCGGGCTAAGCACAACTTGCCCAGGTAAATATGAAAGCATGGGAGTCTATGGAGCCTGGCCTAGCTGGGTCTAAAGTCTGTTTTTTCATACTCGCCTAGTCAACTAGAACGGCAATTTAAATATGAAGACTTGGACAGAGCCCTTAATATTAACCTGTTTGGTCCAGCATTTGCAATAGAGGATCATGACCATATTGGTTTCATTTCTCAATATCTGTAATAAGAGCGGTTTGTGATGCCTGCCTATTGAGAATATTCTCCTAATAATCTGTATGATGATTAATGGATATTCATACTATTAAGTGTATTATAAAGTAAACGTGTATGCCTCAGCATTTGCAGCTCAGAAGTGCACGTCATACAAACTCAGGTCTGCCGCCATCCTGACTTGCCTCTTGTAGCTTACAAAGGTCTTCCTTTGTTTGTTCCTGATGGCTGAAATGAATGGGTGAGTGAAAGAAGATACACATGAAAGGGGAAATCCCGAAATAACATTAGAAACAATTGAGTACTGTCCGTGATACTTTTTTTATTTGCACTAACATACAATTTTGAGGACAAGCTTTCAGGGAATGTCCCCTTCTTCAAGGTCTAAGCCAGGGGTGGGCAAACTTTTTGACTTGAGGGCCGCAATGGGTTCATATATTGGACCCGGGGGCCGGACCAAGAGTAGATGAATGATGTGTATGTGTCATCCATAGTAAGTATAGTAATATTCCCCCATAGTAGGCATAGTAATTAATCCCCCATATAGTAATTCATCCCCCCCCATATAGTAATTCATCCCCCATATTAATTCATCCCCCATATTCATCCCTCATATAGTATTTCATCCCCCATAGTACTATTCCCCCCTATAGTAAGTCCCCCCTGTGTTAATTCACTTACCTTTGCTCCGCGCGTTCCTCTCGCCGTGTTCCCGCGCCGTTCCGGTCTTCAGGGCGGACTGTGAGAGGAGCCTAGCTCCCCTCACGTTCCTCACGCTGCCCCACCTACACACATTCTGACAGCCGATGTTTGTCACGCTTCGCGGGCCGGATTAAAAGGTCCGCCGGCCGGATTAAAAGGTCCGCCGGGCCGGATTAAAAGGTCCGCCGGGCCGGATTAAAAGGTCCGCCGGGCCGGATTAAAAGGTCCGCCCGGCCGGATAAAAGGTCCGCCGGGCCGGATTAAAAGGTCCGCCGGGCCGGATTAAAAGGTCCGCCGGGCCGGATTAAAAGGTCCGCCGGGCCGGATTAAAAGGTCCGCCGGGCCGTAGTTTGCCCATTGCTGGTCTAAGCAGTACTACTCACAAAGTTAGCAGAATGTTAGAATGCACTAATACGGCTACAATCAACTCAAACAAAAGGGAAGATACTGCATATAGCCGCATAAAGAAGCAGTTAACCAACCTAATCACAAAGGAAACACAGATCAACAGTGCATCTCTTCTAACATTCTGCTAACTTTGAGTAGTACTGCTTAGACCTTGAAGAAGGGGACATACCCCGAAAGCTTGTCCTCAAAATTGTATGTTAGTGCAAATAAAAAAAGTATCACGGACAGTACTCAATGGTTTCTGTCGCAAATGCACTAATACGGCTACAATCACCTCAAACTAAATAACATTAAAAACCCAACAGGGGTTCCAATTTCCCACTGTATCCAAAAACAAAAAAAAATGTTTAGACTGAACTTACATTTTTAGATGAACATGTTACTTTGCTCTACACAGGGCACTTTCAGATTCTTTAATAAAATGTATTCAGTTAAAATCCTTAAACCTTTTGCTGCTGATGATGTAAGTATTACAATGGGGGCAGAGCCAACATTAAAACGGCTTCCCAGCTGCTAAGGCACTTTGGCATTTTTTTTTTTTTTTACTCCTGGTTGCCGGCTATGTAGTAGAAGTGATTCAGGTGGCTTTCTATCACTTTCTGCATAAGGTGCTAATCTTACCTGTGATGAATGAACCTGGAAGTGGTCAACATTGAACACTTCAAGGTATAAAGCTGTCGATTTCTTGCCTCTTTGGCCAGGAAAGTGCCGAGTCTGCGACAATGAAGTATAACTAAAGGCAAAACTTTTTTTTTTTTTGAACAGGGTGGAAAGGGGTTGGGCTACCTAATGGGTTTTATTGTTGTCTGTGCCCCCCTTAGGGAGATTCACCCTCTGCATTTGTTCTGTTTACCATTATCATTGAAAGTAAAAGAAAATCCCAAATTTTGGCTTGTCCCCAGAAAAGAAATAGAGGGGAGATCTTCCAATGAAACTGTCTACGGGAAACAGTGTCTGCACCATGGGGTGTACATGGTCGGCCAAAATGTGTACATAGTCCCTGGCAGTGACTCTACCTTTCAAGCTGATGATGGGGCCTGCAGAATACCAAGATATGGCTTCCCTAACCGTGATTGTGCCGCCACCGTGCTTTACTTTTGGCACAAGACAGTCCTGGTTGTAAGCTTGGGCAGTGGTGTATTTAGGTTTTGTGATGCCCTAGGCAACACAAAAATCGTTTGCCCCCGCAGACACTGATCAACACCCCCCCCCTTTTCCGTCCCGCAGAAAGAGCCAGACATTGACCAGCAACACCCCTGCCCCCCCCCCCCCCCCCCATACTGTATATAGATAGAAAGACACTCATCTTCACAGCTCCGGGCATCCCTGAGAACGAGAGTCGGGCTCTACATAGACCATCAAGCAGCCTACAGCCTCTCTCAGATCCCACCTGGTTCCCATGGCGCGCATGTCCCTTCTTCCATCTCTTTTTCTGGGGAGAGGTGCTGCCCCTCCTGAAAAATGCCGCCCTAGGCAAGTGCCTTGTTTGCCTTGTGGTAAATACACCCCTGAGTTTGGGATGTGTTTGCCACACGTAAACACGTCCGGTGTTGGGAACAGTGTGAAGCTCGATTCATCAGGCCATATTACAGTCTTCCATTGATTGTCAACAATTTATGGGTTTTGCACCACTCTCTCCTCTTCTAAGCATTAATATCGGTCACTAGTGGTTTGGCAACTGCAGCTCACACATGAATGTTTTGCTTATTGAGTTCCCTCTGCACTGTTTTTTGTGGATACGGCTTTGGAAGACTGAGATTGAGCTCTGCAGCCACTTTTGCAGCAGTGGTTTTCCGGGTCACCATCCTGCGCAATGTCCTTTTTGTCTTTCGGTCAGTTGACCATATCAACTGCACTTATTAGACAACATTTTCCCGGAAACTGTATATGCCGTCATAACCTTTGTTACTGTACCTTGCGACACAACATATACATTGGCAACTTCAGTCACAGAGGCATCAGCTAAGTGGGCACCAGCAATCTGCCCTCTTTGAAGCTCAGTAAGCTCTGACATGACTCCATATTACTAGCAACGCACGCAATGAATAATGAAACTGAGGCTTCCCACCTGCTAGCTAGGTGTCTCATCACACAGCGAAAGCAAAAGAATGTTAAATCACTTCCGCTTTCAGGGCAAAACATCGTCACTTTAACACCTGCACATCATGTAGTGTTTCCATATTTTTGTGCAACCCCTGTATTTACTTGATGCAAGCTCATCTTTTTTTTATATTGTGTTTGTGTGCACTAAAATTAATTCAAGCATATTTTTAATTGTAAATATAGATTTAGTAAAAAAAAATGGTGCAAATATTGTGTTATATTTTAAAATGCAACCATTTTTTTTTCTACTGGGTCTCTGAATTAAGAAAATATTTGTTTTGGGAGTTTTAATTAATCTTCAGGTCTAAAATGGTTAAACGATATGGCCTCCTTTTTGCAACAGCATCGACCTGAAAGGATGTTTGATGGTTCAGAATTTTGTAGCTGTTTATAGAAGGGTGACGTGATATACTTTCACACTGATATATTTACTCCATGTTTAGATACGACACGATGTGTCAGAACTATAAGGAGGGCATGTCAAGACTTCCACAGATGAAACAAAAAGAAGGAACGGAGATCCGCTTTAGCACACTTCCGGAGAAAATGTACCCAAAGAATGCTACTCCCGCTGAAGTCACACAGCACAGCATGGACCTGTCCTATGCCCTAGGGCAGCTGATAGATGAATTCTACCCAGAAAAGCCTTTTTATATACTAGGTCAGTGAAAATGTTTGTGTCTGCAGAGTTTGCCCTTTGCACCCTTTCCAGTTAGGTGTGCTGGTCATGTCTCTTTTGTTCACAAACACATACACTGGGCTGTTTAATTGCTGGCAAACTTGTTAAATCTCGTGACCTTCCATGCAGCCCCCAGCTCAAGGGGGCTGCACTTTTACTGGGCAAAAAAGTCACACATCCATCGGCTTGGTTTGCTTTAACGGGAAATTATATTCCTGTTCCCCAAAGGCATTTAAATAACTTTTGAAATCAACTTTCTGTGATATCCACTATAAATAGTAAGACGTTTGTCCCCTTTCACATACACCCCAAAGGAGTGGTAAAACAGGTGATTTAGCTGTGGTTTTACTGACTGCCCATCTAAAATCTACCAAGGCAGCCAGAGGGGATGATACTCATGCAGTGCCAGTGATGCTTTGTGGCCATGGAAAATTAAACTCCGCTTGTCAAGTTTGACAGATGATACCACCTGTCAACTCACCTACTGAGGTCAATGAGTGTGCGCTGCAACTGTGAGCCAAAGGCTTGGTACATGGTATTTCAATACAAAATCCCCCTTGGGATTGAAAAAAAAAATAGCCTAAAAAAAAAAAACAAATGTTCAGGAGGCAGCCCCCCCAAAAGTCTTGTATCTACTGCTCTAACACCTTCTGAAAAGCCATCCACCGTAGATTGCTTTACAGAGGGAGAAATAGACTGCTGGACTTTGTCCCCCCCCCCCCCCCTTGTAATAGGATATCTACTGAGCCTGCACTGCACAATTATTAGGCAAGTGATTATTTTTAACAAATCATCATTTTTATGCATATTGTCAAACTCCAAACTGTATAAACTTGAATGCTTATTAGATTTGGGCATATCAGGAGATATTTGTGTAATGAGGGAGGGTGTGGCCTAAGGAGATCAACACCCTATATCCAGGTGTGCATAATTATTAGGCAGATTCTTTGCCTTAGGCAAAATGGACCAAAAAACTGACTCTGAAAAGTCAAAAATTGTAAAACATCTTTCAGAAGGGTGCAGCACTCTTAAGATTGCTAAGATATTGGGGTGTGACCACAGAACCACCAAAACATTTTATTGGAAATAGTCAACAGGGTTGCAAGAAAAAAAAGACACAAATTAACTGCCAAAGATTTGAGAAGAATCAGACGTGAAGCTACCAGGAACCCATTATCCTCCAGTGCTGTCATATTCCAGAACTGCATCCTACCTGGAGTGCCCAGAAGTACAAGGTGTTCAGTGCTCAGAGACATGGCCAAGGTAAGGAAGGCTGAAACCCGACCACCACTGAACAAGACACAGAAGTTAAAATGTCAAGACTGGGCCAAGAAATATCTGAAGACAGATTTTTCGAAGGTTTTATGGACTGATGAGATGAGAGTGAATGTTGACGGACAAGATGGATGGGCCCATGGCTGGATCAATAACGGGTACAGAGCTCCACTTCAATTCAGGCGCCTGCAAAGTAGAGGTAGGGTACTGGTATGGGCTGGTATTATTAAAGATGAGCTAGTTGGACCTTATCAGGTTGAAGATGGACTCAAAATCAACTCCCAAACCTACTGGCAGTTTTTAGAAGACACTTTATTCAAGCATTGGTACAGGAAAAAGTCTGCATCTTTCAAGAAGATTGATATTTATGCAGGACAATGCGCCAACGCATGCATTGAAATACTCCACTGCATGGCTAGCCAGTAAAGTCCTTAAAGATGAAAGAGTGATGACATGGCCCCCTTCCTCACCTGACCTAAACTCTATTTGGAACAGTGTCTGGGAGTCTGTGGTTGCTGCTGCACAAAAAGTTGATCATCAACAGCTCAAGAAACAGACTGATTCCATGAATGGGAGGCCTATGACCCTTATTGAAAAGAAGGGTGGCTATATTGGTCCCTTTTTTTTTTTTTTTTTTTTTTTTTTCTTTGCGCGCTATAAACAAAAAGAGACCGACAATTTTGGAAAAAAAAAAAAACTATATTTTTTACTTTTTGCTATTAAACATATCCAGTAAAAAAGTTAAAAAAATAAAATTTTGTTATAAATTTAGGACAAAATGTATTCTGCTACATGTCTTTGCTAAAAAAAAAAATCCCAATACATCCCCAGTGACACCAATACAGTGATCAGTGCTAATAAAAAACACTAACACTGTACTAATGACACTGGGCAGGAAGGGGTTGACATGTCGGGCGATCAAAGGGTTAACTGTGTGCTGTTTTGCTATGTGGGCTGTGTGTGCTTTACACTGTAAGCACACAGCTTTGTATGGCTCTGCATGCAGTGTGCAGGAAGCTGACAGGGAAGAGATCTGTATTGTTTACATACAGGTCTCTCCCCCGTCAGCAATACTTGGAGATCCCCAGGTGCCAGCGGAGAATCACCGGTCGGGACCCAGTGATTGACAGCCAAAACTGCAAATGGTGGCATGGGTAGGGCGTGCGCCCCTTACTTACCCAGAACTGCAAAATCAGGTGTGTATATATACGTGATTTTGCGCACCCGTGCCGCGCTGTAGTAGCATTTCTGCTATAGGGCTGCACGGAAGTGGTTAACAGATGAAAATAAACAAGTGAGATGGGAAAATTTCCATCATTCATTTAGTTGCATAATAATTTCTGCACACTAATAGTTGTCCAATAATTCTGCACACATAAATATTCTCCTAAGAAATCCAAAATATCACTTTTACTTAAATATTCAGATTTGAGGTTCATTAACATTTTGGATTGACTGAGAACACTGCTGCATTGTTCAATAGTGAGATTAAGTCTCAAAAATACAACTTGCCTTGTGCACACAGTGTAGTAGGACCAGCCCCTGTGGAGGGCCACATTTTCACAGCTCTTGCATCTAATATATGAGCTTTGATAACTAGGGACAGAGAGAATGGCAGTTATCTGACCACTTGGCCCTTCTTGCTGACTTTCATGGCTTTTCCTGCTTTTGGAGCCCTGCTGAGCAGGTTCAGCATTGCTATTTACTCTGTCAGCACAGTGAAAGCCGACCTTAGAAATCCATTGCTTTGATTCAGCATGGCTAATCTGTGTTGGGGTGAGAAAAGCCAAGCCACTTTTCAGCCAAGCCGCGAGGGGCGAGGATGAGTTTACACTTAAGCTTCAAAGGCAGAAAACCTTTTTTTGGATTGGTAATACAGTGCAAGTGTAGTGATGCGTATCAACCAGTCTGATCACCTGTCTACACCCATCTGAGCAATTAAAGATGACTGGATTCGCTGATTTACTGCACTTTGCATATTATTTATTTCAGGTACTTCTATAGCGTCGTCAATTTACGCAGCGCTTTACACATATATATTGTACATTCACATCAGTCCCTAACCCTCAAGGGGCGTACAATCTAAGGTCCCTAACTCACATTCATACATACACATACTAGGGACAATTTAGACAGGAGCCAATTAACCTACCAGCATGTCTGGAGTGTGGGAGGAAACCGGAATCCCTGGAGGAAACCCCTCGCAGGCACAGGTAGAACATGCAAGCTCCAGGCAGGTGGTGCCATGGTTGGGATTTGAACCAACGACCCTAGTACTGCCAGACGGAAGTGCTAACCATTTAGCCACTGTGCTGCCCACCTCATTAACCACTTCCCGTCCGGCCCATGTATATAAACGGCTGGACGGGAGCAGTGCAGGGACGGTTAGCCGTTTATACACGTCCTCCCCACTTCCCTGTTTGTACGCGCTCCCTGGGAGTACGCAGCACCACAATCGTTGTATGGGACTTCTGTGTGAGGTCCCGATCATGTAATCACTGATTGGCCAATCAGTGATAACATGAATATTAGTAAGCAAGATGTCACTTCTGACATCACTGCTTACTATATGTGAAATTTGTGAATGATCACAGAGGTCACATGGTACCAAGCTATTCACAACAATGGCTGTAAGAATGCAGCCAGAGAGGAGAAATGATTGGGTGTAAAAGCAATCAGCGTAAAAAAGAAAAAAAAAAAATCACTTAGTCACTATGGTGACACTGTACTGCTAGGGTAACAGTATGTTAAAAAAAAAAACCCATAAATAATAATATAAAAAAAATATTGAAAAATTATAATTTTTGGTTATAAACTAATTTTGGGATGAATATATATATATATATATATATATAATATAATTATTATTATTATTTTTTTTTTTTTACTAAAAAGAGAACTGAATACATTTTGTCCAAGATTTATGAAGAAAGATTTTATTTATTTGCAAAAATTTTATAAGAAAAACACTTTTTTTCCAAATTTTTGGACTTTTTCATTTATATAGCAAAAAACAAAAATCCCAGTGGTGAATAAATACCACCAAAATAAAGTTTTGTCTGTCTCAAAAAAATGCTAAAAATTCATATGGGTACAGTGTTGAATGACCGCGCAATTGTCATTCAAAGTGTAATAGCACTGAAAGCTGAAAATTGGCCTGGACAGGAAGGGGGTGAAACTGTCCGGACTGGAAGTGGTTAAAGCTTAACTGGATATAAAATAGGTAAAGTTGATTCAGGGAATATCCAATTTGCCTCCTGGGGGATCAGGAAGGAATTTTTTTCCTAACAGGAACAAATTGGATCATGCTCTGCTGGGTTTTTTGCCTTCCTCTGGATCAATTCTGGGTATAGGATTATAACTTTTTTTTTTTTTTTTTTTTTTTTATGGTTCAACTGGATGGACTTTTTGTCTTTTTTTTTTTTTTTTTTTCAGCCAGACTAACTATGCAAGTCCTGTTAGATTTAAAGACAGAAATGACTGCAGCTCAGTATGTGTTCTATATTATTATATGGCTGATAGCAGTTTGTCACATTTAACTGGATTTGTTTTGTAATACTTAAGAAGATTCACAACTTCTGTAATGTTCAATGTCTTCAACATTACAGATTAACGAATCCTGTTAAATGTGACCAACTACTAACTATATCATGATCTAGATCAGTGTTTCTCAACCTTTTTTCAGTCGAGGCACCCTTTATATTTATGTTCAGTCTTGAGGTACCCCATTCTAAGATGTAAAAAACTCTTCTAACAGTTTTATATTACGCAGCAACATCCACACATGTAGGACACCCAACGTTAGAGGTGATTTATTCTTCCAAAGCAAATACACTTGTGCACACTGGTACTGACTAGTATGCCAATGTTTCTCTTCTCCCTCAGCTAACTGAATTAATGTGACCCCAGTACAAAAAATGGCCACTGCCCCAGTCTATAACTGGCCTTCACAGCAAGGAGCACATGGAAGGACGACGCATGTCAAACAACAAAAGAGAAAAATTCCTGGCTCAACTTACCAGCCAGCTTGAAAACAAACCGAATTAGCCTGTCTAACATTATGTTAAAAACAGGGGTTTAGTTAGCACACATTTGCAGTTCCTAACTACAAATTTTGAAAGCCCCCATAGTAGAGGCTCATGTATTTAATGGATAGACCGAGGGCAGGTGAACCTGAGGGAGCCCACCCCTCCATAAAGGTACAGGCGCGCACTGGACACTCAGCATATAGCACAATGGCAGCCAGGGTGTCTAGTGCACCCCCTCGACCAACAATTCAACAGTACAAAAAATGGCCACTGCCCCAGTCTATAACTGGCCTTCACAGCAAGGAGCACATGGAAGGGCGACGCATGTCAAACAATAAAAGAGAAAAATTCCCAGCTCTACTTACCAACCAGCCTGCAAACAAACCAAATTAGCCTAACCGCATGCTTTAAAAACAGGGGTTTAGTTAGCACACATTTTCAAATACATGCGTAAGATGCAGAGACTCTTCATGGCACCCCGATATTCTTTAGTTCCTAACTCTACAGCATTTGAGAGCTGCTATGAGACCCCAGAACTAACGGGCGGGGGAGGGTCAAACGAGGATGCTGTGCAGGCAGCTGACATCCTCCTTTTCAACTAATGATGTCATTAGTTGTCAGGTCACCGGCACCTAGAAGGTTGTCATGGTGCACAATGAAAAAAGTGGCTTCGTGTAGCTAAAACGCTTGTTCGACCTGCTGGCTGGTATACAAATTTTGGGCAATTTTTAGACATTTTGCTGAGGCACCCCTGAAGAACCCTCAAGGCACCCCAGGGTGCCTGGTTGAAAAAGGCTGATCTAGATAAATGAAAACTTTCACAAACATACAGAATATCATTAAATTTATTTTTTCACACAAAAGTAATGCAAGTTCCTAAGTTTGACTTGATATTTGCTTCTTGCTTCTTGCATTCCCCTGTGCAACAATACATAGCCACAGAGAGAGGGGAATTACTTCTAGGAGCCAATCAGGTGCGCTGCATACACGTGTGTACAATGAACATGCTGATAGGAAGTGAGAGCAGAGGGATGACCTCATCAGTTGGCTGATGCTTCTTTACAGTCGGCAAGCCATCGCTTTTCTTACCTATACGTGGTATCCTCCATCTTGCTCTGCTGTGTGGCAGTGCTGTGTAAATCTTAGAACTGGATGAACAGAAAAACCAAACCTTTTGATAATCCAGTATTCTGTATATTTCATGTGTATTTATTTACAAATGAAGTTTAGTTTTCAATACCTTCATAAAAGTGCAGTTGCAACTGCTCCCTGTACTCTTATCTCCCAGAACAGAGCAATCCAACATTTTTTTTTTTTTTTTTTTTTTTTAAATGTATGCATATAATCTGTTTTTGTTTTTTCCTCAGCTGAACTGCAGTTTGCCTTTGTGTGTTTCCTCCTGGGAAATGTATATGAAGGGTTTGAGCAGTGGAAGGGTTTGCTGGACCTTCTGTGTCGAGCAGAGACCTACTCCCTACAGCACCCAGATCTGTACAGTGAGCTTATCTCCGTCCTGTATCACCAGTTGTCCCAGGTGCCCACAGACTTCTTCATAGACATTGTGTCTCAGAACAACTTCCTGACCAGCACTTTGCAGGTAAATTCATTATGGTACACCTCTAGTGAAAGGCTGTCATTGCTGAAAAACCTCCTGAAATGTCAAATCTCTTGTAGTCTCTGTACTGAAATAGATTAAGCTTGCAATACCAATTCAGGGCTTTAACCTCCCTGGCGGTATTCCCGAGTGTAGCTCGGGGTAAAATGTCAGTACCAAAAGCGGTAACCCCGAGCTACACTCGGGCTTACCATGCGGCGCTGCATAGGGAGTCCCTGCAGCACTTACCTTGTCCTGCGCTCCCGCGATGTGTCCACTGCAGCGTCCCCGGCCATCTCTGGCTGATGCCGGCATCCGGCTTCTGTGTTCCATCCCTGTGACGTCGGGATGTACGGGCGGCGGGAAATTTGAAAATTTAAAAAAAAATTTAATTTTTTTTCAAAACGAATTTTACATAGTAAAACATTGCTGTTTCAAACCATTTCACATACATTTTGTCCCGAGTGCTTTGTCCTGTTCTGTCTGCATTTTCATTGTTCTTTCTGCCTGGAAACTTAGAAAAGTCCATGGCGTCCAAAAAGCGTCCCTTTAGGTCAAAAGCGGGTTTAGATCAGCTAGAAAACAGCGATAGTAAATCAGAACCACTTGCAGAATTGAGTGATAATGATTTGTGGAGAAATTCGTCATCAGACACTGAAAACGATTTTGCGACTTTGCTCAGTGATGTGTGAACTTGGCGCTATATTTCAAATTTCAGTGTTTTCGGTTTGATTATATTATTGAATTAAATGTATTATTATTATATTATTTTTTATGATTATTTATTAAATTATAATTTATGATTTTGTGTTTCAAATTTTATCATCCCCGGGATGTTTAATAGACTCTTGTTCGGACAGATTTCAGTGAGTTATTCCTAAAAATTACAGCCTACAATAAAAAAAACTACATATTTCCATGCAAAATAATGGTACCCGCTTTCAGCACCAAAAATCTGAAATAATCATACCGCCAGGGAGGTTAAAGAGAAACTGCCACCTTGTCCTTTCAGGGAGTGGTGACGGTGCCTTTGTAAATGTCTCTCGCTGCTTATTCTTCAATATGAAAACTCAGTACGTCTGTACAACTCATTACCCAGTATGACAATTTTGTTATGTGTTAACACTCATTATATAAGGTTCTTGCAAAATGAAATCACGCCAATACACCCCATCATGGCTAAAACTGCAGCTGATGTTTTTTGAGGAACTGTGCACTGATTTGCCCATTCAAATTGAATAGCGCATCAACACACATAATGTGTGCTTCTGCATTGCAATAGGGAAAAATAGTCCAAAAAAATCACCAGATTTTGATTTAGAGGCAACTGAATTTATTTAGAAAGCTAACATTTTTCTTTAAAAGTGGTTGTAATCCTTAGACATGAAATATGAACAAAGCATATCCCTCTATAGTGTGTAGTTGTAATTAAAAGCTCTAAGTGTCATTTCAGTCTGCTGCTTTGTTCCTCTGCTACCCACATGAATCACGTCTGATAAGTTTTCCTGACACCAAGAGAAAACTGGTGACGGGAGGGACCTCTAGCAGCCTGACAGCCTCAGCTCTGTTGCTGAGTGGAGGGGGGGGTGTCTCCCTTTTCTTCTCTCCAATCAGCTGTCAGTGCTCGGTCCTCGCTGAGCTCTGCAGAGTGTTACTTCAGCGAATAATAACTAGACTTGGACGCCTTTTTTTTTCTGAACGTTCTCAGACAAGCTTTATAAATTTTAGCTCTTTTATCGTAACCATGTTGAGAAGACTGTAGATGCTAAAACAGGTATAAAAACATATGTAGTAGGATTCGTGTCATATCTGTGTATCACCTGAGGCCAGTCACTTCACTGGGAATGGTCTGACCACTGTGGAGGCTGTAATACACTGCTTGTGCTGCATACGGTAGGCTGTATCGTCTTCATTGCCAAGTCCTACAAAGCATTTTCTGATTGGCTCATCTACCTGCCTCTCATCTAGGCCAACCAGAGAACATCTTGTCTACATTGATAAAAATACAAGGCTGTTCCGGAATGGCTGAGATGCCTTAGGACCGATTTTTGTTTATTTCCGGGCACAGAAGGGAAGTGTGTTTGGGCTCAGCCAAGAAGACAGCATAGCTTACTGTATGCAGCACAAGATCCTGCGGTATATGATGGCTTACACAGCGGCCGGACTGTTCTCTAGCAGTAAGCATTCATTTGAACTAAACTGGCCCAATAAAACATTTTAAAGTGACAGAAAAGATGGTTTAACAATGTCATAGTATAGCATATAAGTCATTAGCTGCTGAACATAGAGTTTCTCTTTTGATGTAATGTGTACCTAATTGTTTTTCTTTCCAGGTTCTGTTCTCATTCTTGTGCTCTCAGTCTAAGAATAAAGACCTGAAGAAGAGAGCCATCCGATTCCGAGCCCATCTTACCAAGAAATTTCAGTGGGACTTTGAAGAGGAGCCTCTGGACTGTGCTCCAGTTGTTGTCCAGCTCCCCGAGGATTGGGAAAGTGAGAAAGGAGACCAAAACACAACCCTAGAAGGAAAGAATGAGACCGCCCTCCCTTCATAGTCTGTAATACAGCAAACAAGACATCACACCACACTAATGATCGGTTGTACAGCAATATGTGGCTTCTGCTGCAATGTACAGATGGAGAGGCAGCATGCACAGAAACTGGTCAGAGCTGTAGACAGGGATCTTTGGCAGAGGTGTTTATTATGTGTCTCAGGGCTTCAGTTTGGGCCTGCAAAGTCTGCTGTTATGGTTCCTAGTCAGTGGCATTACTGTATATTGGGTAACACTTTTTTAGAGGTTGCTGGAAAATGGCACACCGACTTTTGATTTCAACTTATTTGATTAAGTTTTATTAAATGATATGTCTATTCTGTTCTTTATCTTGTGGCTTCACTATTGAATCCTATCTAAGCTCCTCTTAAAAGTATGAAAACACTGCACTCAAGACACACACACACCCAAGCTCTTCTCTTTAACATGTTAATATAATTTCAAGAGAATTCTAATATCTTTAAGGGATAAGTTCATCTTTGGGAACATGTTCCAACTGTTTTTAGGGTGGAACATGTTCCCACTCCTGCAGCTGCTGCCTGTGACTGGGAAACTACAAGTACCGGCAGCCTTTGTGGCTGTTGGCTTGTAGTTCTCAATTAACTACTATGGTGCTGTTTTCAGCACTCTGGTAGTTCATTGTCTCTTCCCGTCAGCTAGTGTCTGCCTGTATGAGGTATGAGCAGACAGATACACTGACAAGTCTGCATTGAGTGCTGCATGGCCCCTGTGATCTGCTGATTGCGGATGCCGTGCTTTCCAGGCTCCAAGTAAAAAAAATAATAAATGCACATTTTATCTGCAAAAAGATGTGCATTTCCTATTGTTTTTTAAAAAAGGTGAACTTATCCTTTCAATATGCAGCTCATTAAAATAATATCTGTTGATCCTGCCAGGAAGGGCCTTGTTCAGCCACTTCCTGTTATAGCTTGACAAATATCTGTCTGTGTCTACGAAGGGCTCATGTACATAGGGCTTAATATGCCTGTAAAAGTGGCATTTTTTAGTTTTCTTTTTCTGCCTGTAAGGGCACCTCTATGTTAGCCTGTGTGTCAGACATGGGTGTTTACAGGCATATTAGAAGAGGCGCGTCAACGGGCAGAAAAAAAAAAAAAAAAAAACATCACCGCATTTAGGAGAGGAGCTTTTGAGCAGACACGTCTCTAGCACTTGAGCGTTCATTTCAGTTACCAGAATAAATTTAATATTCTTGCCAATAAAATCCATTAATACTCAAACCAAGAAAATAGAAAGGAGCATGGAATAAGCAGTCCATATAGTCTCTATGAAATCCAATGGATGTGGAATCCAAGAGCGAAGGGAAGGGCAAGCAGTCTTAATAACAGGGCAAGCTGCAGTAGAGGGAAGCAGACTCTAATGAAGAAGGAGCACAGCGCCTCTGAATGTACACTGTATGACAGCTTTAATAGTTAAAAGGTAAGTTAACATAAAAAGAAGGAAGGCGCCTCTAAGTGTAATATTGGCAATTTAATAATTCACAAATAGTAAAATACACTTACAAGATTAACATTTTAAAAGGCTCATGTGGTAGCCGATATTCCTGATATAAAGGATGGGGCGTCCAGCGGCAACGCGGTCCGTCAGACTCAGGAAGTCGGAGCAGAGATGGCTGTGTATCCAAAACAAGGCATGAAGCGCAACATCGGATGTGACGGGATGGGGGTGGTAACGTGTTTCGGAGCATGCGCAGTAAGCTCATTCATCAGACCCATAAGGTCCTTGGAGCTTACAATCTAAGAGGGAGGGGCTGGTGGTACAAAAGGTAATAACTGTGGGGGATGAACTGATAGGAGAAATAGAAGTCGCCGTTATTAGCTGAAGGCAGGATAGGCTTCCCTGAAGAGATAGGTTTTCAGAGATCGCCTAAAAGTGGGCAGCATAGGCGATAGTCGGATAGATTGGGGTAGAGCGTTCCAGAGGATGGGGTAGGCTCTGGAGAAGTCTTAGAGAATGGGAGGAGAAGACAAGTGATCTGGAGAGGACGGTTTGGGTGATATTTAGAGACCAGATTGGCGATTTCATTTGGGGCAGAGTTACAAATGGCTTTATACGTTATTGTTAATGTTTGGAATTTTATTCGTCGGGAAATGGGAAGCCAGTGGAGGGATTGGAAGAGAGGGGTGGCAGATATGGAACGGTTAGTAAGGTGGATGAGTCTGGCAGCAACATTCATGATAGACTGAAGAGGGGATAGCCTGCGATGAGGTAGGTCAATGAGGAGGGAGTAACAATAGTCAAGGCGAGATATAACAAGGGAGTGAATAAGTTGCTTAGTGGTTTTAGAGGTTAGGAACGGGCGTATCTTGGAGATGTTGCGGAGGTGAAGTCTACATGATTTGGACAGTGATTGGATTTGGGGCTGAAAGGACAGGTGGGAGTCTAGGATTACACCTAGTACCCTGGCATGAGGGGAGGGATGATGGTTGTATTATTGATCTTGATGGAGAAGTCAGGGGAGGGGGCACGGGCTGGAGGGGATAGTATGAGCTCCGTTTTGGAAAGATTTAGTTTGAGGAAGTAGAGTGACATCCATGCCAATATGTTACATATGAAAGGGTGAGGTGAGGAGTAGAAAGATAATTTGTGTGTCATCAGCATAGAGATGGTACCTAAAGCCATGCGAGTTTATCAAGTGACCAAGGGAGGAGGTGTAGATGGAGAATAGAAGGGGTCCAAGGACAGAAACTTGAGGGACCCCTACAGAAAGGGAATGGAAAGGAGGAGCCAGAGTTACAGGTAACACTGAAGGAGCGCTGCGATAGGTAGGAGCAGAACCAGGAGAGAGCAGAGTCTTGAAAGCCAAGAGCCAAGGAGGGGATGGTCAACAGTATCAAATGCTACAGAGAGGTCAAGCAGTAAGAGTATGGAGTAGTGGCCATTAGTTTTAGAAGGTAGTAAATCATTAGTGAGTTTTAGTAGGGCAGTTTCAGTGGAGTGTAGTGAATGAAAGCCAGACTGTAAAGGGTCAAGAAGGTTGTTGTCAGTGAGGTAGGAGCTCAGGCGATTGTAGACTAAGCATTCCAAGAGTCTAGATGGGTCTTAAGTTGCTCAGGTTAGTGGTGTGTCCAGCGAGGGCTTTGTAAGTATGGGAGTGATCTGTGTATGCTTTAGAGGGGTGGGGAAGGCACTGTTAGGTAGAGATTTTAAATGTGAGTGAGGGAGCATAGGAAAGAAGAAGAGGGTGACCGTAGTAGTTGTGAGGGGACAGGATCCAAGAGGCAGGTGGTGAGACGGGCTTCTGAGAAAACTTTAGTGACCTCTTCAATAGTAGCAACGTCAAAAGAGGAAAGTGTTGAGGGAGGTTTAGTACAAGGTATGCTAAGTGGGATAGATGTTTTTGAAATTGTTTGCAATCTCGTAAGAAGTGAGTGAGTTACTGGGTGGGGGTGGAGAAAGTAGAGAGTTAAAAGTAGGGATGAGACCACAAGGACTGGATGTCAAGGTATTAATAAGAGTGCCAAAGTAGGCTTGTTTGGCTGCATGAAGGGAGAAATTGTATGTTAAGAAAGCAATTTATATAGGGTGACATGGAAAGCCATTACCCATTTATTACAGACTTCATTCTCACATGCGCTGTTGTCAGCACCGTTGAAACACAGTGGAACCTGGCTGTCACATTGCCCATGTCATTCTGCAGCCAATATTAGTTTGGGTTAAACTAACCTTGTAAAGAATATCTGTAAATGTACTGGAAAGAGATTGTAAAGAATGTAAAGTTATTTGTACATAATTGCTGTAAAAGCCAGGGCTAAAAAATTTTTTTTTTCTTCTTTTAGGTAAATATGAAATAGTATATTAAAATGATGTGGTTTTGTATCCAGCCAGCAGGTGGCGCTCTGCTCTCCATATGGCAATCTATTTCAGTTCTGCTAAAAGAAATCTATTAGTGTCAGTCAAATGAGTCGGAGTGGTGAGGCATCCTTTATCAGACAGCTTAGTACAAGGTTCCAATCGGACAAATCCTGGTTTCTGTTTTGCTCGTCTGCTAATCCATAGTGCTCTGGGAATTCTTTATCCGGTATAAAATGTTTATTTGCAAACCAGATGTGTAACTCCTTACAAATGTTGGTTTTGTTTTGGAAGAAAAACTGCGTCACAGACTTTTTTTTTTTTCTTACCAAAGTAAGGCTACATTCACACTGGAAATTTAGGCCCATGCAAATTGCAGGTTCAGAATTCTGATTCCTGCTGCTGCTGTGAGCGACTAGGTGCAGCCACCATCTCTGATCTCTATAATGGCTGGTTTCCAGCAGCCGCAGCTATTCGCACAAAGTGTGTGCAGCAGTGATCATCGCAGGTAATTGCTGCCTCTGTGAACAGCCACGAATAGCTGCGGCCACAGGCAACCTTTTATAGTGAATGGGTCCAGTGGCTTCACCTAGCCACTCACAACTGGAGCAGGAGAAAGAGATTTCCTGCCGATGCAATTTGCCATCGGTCTAAAAATTGCCTATGTGAATGAAGCCTAAGGAAAGGCTAGCACACCTTTAACTTTTCATTGCTATCTTTGTCCCAATTTCTCTGAGTTGTTGGTACCGGGACAGGAAGTTTGATACAACTCAAAAGGAGACAGAGCAGTTAAATACTGACAGAATTTCTTACCCTTTCCACTCCAATCGAAAATTTAAAAAAATAAGATTTGGCTTTTGATACACTTATCTAAAATAAAATTTCTCACATACACCGTATAGTCTTCTTTTTAGGTTAGTGCTCCTACCAGAACATTTTCTTACCAAAATTTGTATAGACGACATTATATTTAATAAAAAGATTATAATCAAAGCATGGAGTGACCGTCCTTTCTGCCAGAAAATATACTACATTTCTGCTCCAGAAATTCTTAATCCGTTCTGAATATAGTCTGAATAACAAAAAACATGGTTTTCTTTTCCGATTCACCAGAGGGGCCGGTGTGCCTAGAAAGCAAAAGACGTTTTCATGACCTGTATAACGGAGCGGGAAACATATTTGCCCTATTTACA